ACCTCTCTTGCCTTGACGCGAGGGCTGGCGCAGCCCGTCGCCTCGCTCGCTCGCACTCCCGCCGCCCGTGGACGACCCTTGCAGGCTTCTACCTCGGCGCTGGCGCGCGCTGTGTCTGGTCGGGCGCCATCATCGCCGGCCAGTTTTTCTTCTATGACCTCGCGCGCCAGCTGCTCAACGTCGCCGCGGACGACTTGCTCGTTGTGCTGGACGTCAACCTGTAGCCGCGCGGCGTGGCGCCACCGCTGACGCGAGCTCCTTGGTGTACGTATCCATGTATGTGTTGTTAGTTTTGAGCGAGTGTAATGCGTAAAGTAAACACGGGTCTGCAATGCTCGACCTTGTCGTCGGTGGCAGCGCCTGCACGGCACTCGGCAGGCTTTTTTTGCACGAGTATATAAATATGGTCTTCTCTGCCTGCGGGAACACCCTCGGGCGGCCGGGTGGGGCTGCGGCTGGAGCTAGCATGGCTCGATAGAGCCGAGACCCCGTGTTGAGGCGACGCTCCTGTGGGCGGCTGTGGAATCGGGAGATTCGACCTTAGATCTCCAGTTATCTCATCCCAGTGGATGGACGTCCGGACGTCCCTTTGTGTTCCTCTCGCCGTCCGCCAGCGAGACGCTCTGTCGCTGGCGGCCGCAGTTTTCTGTGAGGTGGGAGGAGAGGAGAGAACGCAGCGAAGATGGCGCAGCAGCAGGCCCCGCCAGCTGCGCAAGCGCCCATCGTCGTCGTCGTTGACGAAGTTCAGATCACCAGTGATGCAGCGCTCGTTCTCGCTCCAGGGGCTCAGCACGTAAAGGACCGCACGCCTTGTCTGAGTTGGACCACGGTGTACGACAATGCAGGAGCAGTGACCAACTACACCCTGGGACAGAGTGACGCCAAGGGCGCCTTCCTGCCGCGGTGCCGGTTCAGCGTGGACCAGCAGACAGGCACCCTCCTCGATGGGAACCACGTTCTCAATGTGCTTTTCAATGGGGCATTCTGGTCGCGGCTTCTGACCGCTCTGGACGCGGCGAACCTCTTTGCCACTTCCATGGAGAAGATCGGCGTGCTACACCAGCGGCTCGCCGGTCTGGCAATGGCCAACCCAGGGGTCTGGGTGATCTCGCACTCGGACATCTTTCTCGGTGAAGACTTTGACGCGCCCGCCGTCCCAGCGCCGGCCGCGGGGAGAGGCCGGGGCCGAGCTAGCTGTAACTGCATGCCGCCCACAGTACCTTTGGCGAACTGACTGATACGAGTATGAGTGATAGTATGAGCGATGGTATGAACGGTAGTAGTGTAGTACTGTCCCGTTATGTGTGTCCGTTTCGCGTCGTTACGACTGCAGTGATACTGCCGTCGGTTCGCCGACCCACGAAACCTCTCGAGAATACGGCGGCCGGTTCGCCGACTGCCGTTCTGCCCCAGTCCAGGCATCTCTCATTCTCTCTCTACAGGTGCGGATTCCGCACCTGGGCACAACGATGAAAGGAGAGAGAGCTGTGAAACTTTCGTCTATGTCACCCTAAAAAATCGCAAACCCTGTCAGCAGTCCACCTTCGGGGTTCCTACGAGCTACATACACATAAAAAATAGTGAATCCGCGAGACCCCCAAATCCCCTGTCTCAGGCTCGACGGAAGAGGACCCCCCCCCCCCCCCATTTTTGGGGGCGCGCCGCCAGGCGCGTCCCCACTTTTGTATCACAGCTGCGAGGGCCAACCAAGGGATTCGGCGCGTCAAGTTAACTTGACCGCTCGTTCGGGCTTTGGGCCGCAGGCCGGCGCGCAGCGCCACGCCGCCAGGCGTCCGCCGGAGGCCCGCCGGAGGCTCTTCCTGCGGCCACATTCTGGCAAGATTCCGCCGCGCTCAGGCGCCCAGAGGATGCGTGCGCTGCGCTCAAACGTCGCGATTTGGCAATAGGCGCTCGAGCCGGCGCACAGCGGACGGGTGCGCCGCGCAGGGGGGGTCGGAGGGGTGCGAGAGGGGGCGTGGGTCAGGCGCGCACCGGCCGGCTCCGGGAGCGGCCGTCACGTCGAGGAGGGGGGCTGTCGGCGGCTCGAGCGGCGAGGCGTGCCACTCTGCTTCGCCGCCGACAGCC